GGTACACTCTCCTATAGATGTTTTATGCTATGTAGAAGGTAAGTGTCATGGTACAATATCCTATAGATGTTTTATGTTATGTAGAAGGTTAGAGTCACGGTACACTCTCCTATAGATGTTTTATGCTATTTAGAAGGTAAGTGTCACGGTACACTCTCCTATAGATGTTTTATGCTATGTAGAAGGTTAGAGTCACGGTACACTCTCCTATAGATGTTTTATGCTATGTAGAAGGCAAGCGTCATGGTACAATATCCTATAGATGTTTTATGCTATGTAGAAGGTAAGTGTCACGGTACAATCTCCTACAGATGTTTTATGCTATGTAGAATGTAAGTGTCATGGTACACTCTCTAAGCTGTGGTCACTTTGTAATATATAGAGGAGGCAGGAATCATGGTACAGACCCAAGCTGTGGTAGCTTTGTAATATATAGAGGAGGCAGGGATCATGGATTGGTACAGACCCCTGTTATATCTATATAATTGAGAGGAGGCAGGGATGATGGTACAAACCCATGTGATAGCTATGTAATATATAGAGGAGGCAGGGATTATGGATTGGTACAGACCCCTGTGATAGCTATGTAATTTAGTGGAGGCAGGGTTCATGGAACAGATCCCTGTGATAACTATGTAATGTAGAGGAGGCAGGGATCATGGTACACACCCCTGTGGTAGCTATGTAATATATAGAGGAGGCAGGGATCGTGGTACAGTCCCATATGATAGTTATGTAATATATAGAGGACGCACGGATCGCTGTACACACCCCTGTGGTAGCTATGTAATATATAGAGGAAGTTGGGATCACGGTACACCCCCCTGTGGTAGCTATGTAATATATAGAAGAGACAGGGATCCTGGCACATATGCAAGGATCAAGATACAGTTTTATGCTATGTAGAAGGTTAGTGTCATGGTATACTCGAGCTCCCACATGGTATACCTGTAATATAGGAAATGCACAGTTTATTATACTATAAAGAGGGCAATCATAATTAATGGTACAGACCCAAGCTGTGGTCGCTTTGTAATATATAGAGGAGTCAGGGATCATGGATTGGTAGAGACCCCTGTGATAGCAATGTAATGTAGAGGAGGCAGGGACCATGGATTGGTACAGACCCCAGTTATATCTATATAATTTAGAGGAGGCAGGGACCATGGATTGGTACAGACCCCTGTTAAATCTATATAATTTAGAGGAGGCAGGGATCATGGATTGGTACAGACCCCTGTTATATCTATATAATTTAGAGGAGGCAGGGATGATGGTACAAACCAATGTGATAGCTATGTAATATATAGAGGAGGCAGGGATCATGGATTGGTAGAGACCCCTGTGATAGCTATGTAATTTAGAGGAGGCAGGGATCATGGAACAGATCCCTGTGATAACTATGTAATGTAGAGGAGGCAGGGATCATGGTACAAACCCATGTGATAGCTATGTAATATATAGAGGAGGCAGGGATCATGGATTGGTACAGACCCCTGTGATAGCTAGGTAATTTAGTGGAGGCAGGGATCATGGAACAGATCCCTGTGATAACTATGTAATGTAGAGGAGGCGGGGATCATGGTACAAACCCATGTGATAGCTATGTGATATATAGAGGAGGCAGGGATCATGGTTCAAACCCATGTGATAGCTATGTTATATATAGGGGAGGCAGGGATCATGGTACAAACCCATGTGATAGCTATGTGATATATAGAGGAGGCAGGGATCATGGTTCAAACCCATGTGATAGCTATGTTATATATAGGGGAGGCAGGGATCATGGTACAAACCCATGTGATAGCTATGTAATATATAGAGGAGGCAGGGATCATGGTTCAAACCCATGTGATAGCTATGTTATATATAGAGGAGGCAGGGATCATGGTACAAACCCATGTGATAGCTATGTAATATATAGAGGAGGCACGGATCGCTGTACACACCCCTGTGGTAGCTATGTAATATATAGAGGAAGTAGGGATCACGGTACACACCCCTGTGGTAGCTATGTAATATATAGAAGAGACAGGGATCCTGGCACATATGCAAGGATCAAGATACAATTCCCTGTGGTTGTAAAGCAATGCAGTTTAACCAGGGATCATGAAACATTCCCGTTTGGTAGCTAAATACTATATAGGTAGGGATTTTTCTAAAGTCCCATGTGATAGCTACATATACACACGAAAATTCCTTGTGGTATAGGGAAGGTAGGGACCCTGTTACAGTCCCATGTGCTGCTACTGTTGGATGTCGAATAATCTTCATCAACGTAATGTTGTGTTTCAGGAGGATAATACATGAACACTGTTCGTCGTGGTAGCGATAATCAATGGGATTAGTAGCGGTACCGGAGAGGGATTAACTGTAATTAGTCTACCTGACACAGAGTGAAACAAATCAAGGGTTACCTATCGTGTACGTTCCTAAGAATTAAATGAAAATTCGTTATGTAGCAATAATTTACTTAACCGTTTAAAAGATAATTGAAATATAAATGTCTAAAACACATTGAAATGTACGTCTTTAAATTGGTTACAAGTTTAGATATTGTAGTAGTATAATATTAAACGCTTCAAAAATATACAGTTAGCAAGAACGATTTTACTAGGTATATCCATTGTAGATTTTCAATTTAGATATTATTTGTTTCAAACACACTAGTGCTTGTACGTACTGACGTGTAATCAAAGGTCCCTTAAGGCATTATTGGTCTGTAGCGTGATTGTGTGAGAGCGGATGTAGGTTGATACGTGTACTGATACTACACTGTCACCTATACTTGCGTTTTATTCTCCGATCAGAGACTCCTGCCGTGGTAGGTGTGTTCTAATATTGGTTTCTACTTTGGTTAGTAACTCCGATTGGATACACTGTACCAACGGTAGTTGGTTTATGGAGATTGGATTAAGAGTGGTAGTAATACTAAGAGAGAAGAGGGAGGATGAGATAGAGAAAGAGTAGAGATCGGTGAATTGGAGAAGAGAGAATGAGTGAGTTGGAGAGAGAGTGTGGGAGAGGAGTGAGTGGGAGAGAGAATGGGTGAGCGGGTGATTGGGAGAAAAGAGTGAGTGGGAGAAGAGAGTGAGTGAGTGAGTGGGAGAAGAGAGTGAGTGGGAGAAGAGAGTGAGTGGGAGAAGAGAGTGAGTGGGAGAAGAGAGTGAGAGTGGGAGAAGAGAGTGAGAGAGAGAAGAGAGTGAGTGGGAGAAGAGAGTGAGTGGGAGAAGAGAGTGAGTGGGAGAAGAGAGTGAGAGTGGGAGAAGAGAGTGAGAGAGAGAAGAGAGTGAGTGGGAGAAGAGAGTGAGTGGGAGAAGAGAGTGAGTGGGAGAAGAGAGTGAGAGTGGGAGAAGAGAGTGAGAGAGAGAAGAGAGTGAGTGGGAGAAGAGAGTGAGTGGGAGAAGAGAGTGAGTGGGAGAAGAGAGTGAGAGTGGGAGAAGAGAGTGAGAGAGAGAAGAGAGTGAGTGGGAGAAGAGAGTGAGTGGGAGAAGAGAGTGAGTGGGAGAAGAGAGTGAGAGTGGGAGAAGAGAGTGAGAGAGAGAAGAGAGTGAGTGGGAGAAGAGAGTGAGTGGGAGAAGAGAGTGAGTGGGAGAAGAGAGTGAGAGTGGGAGAAGAGAGTGAGAGAGAGAAGAGAGTGAGTGGGAGAAGAGAGTGAGAGAGTGAGTGGGAGAAGAGAGTGAGAGAGTGAGTGGGAGAAGAGAGTGAGTGGGAGAAGAGAGAGTGAGTGAGTGAGTGGGAGAAGAGAGAGTGAGTGGGAGAGAGATTGGGTGAGCGGGTGATTGGGAGAAGCGAGTGAGAGTGAGTGGGAGGAGAGAGTGATTGAAGGAGAGAGAGTGAGTGGGAGATAGAAAGACGGTGAGAGGGCGAGCAGAATGTGGTATGTACAGGTTAGGGCTGCATAATCTCGAAACTCTCACAGATCATAAATGAGCATAACTTTTTGAATTTGAAGATGATATTTGTTGAAAATTATTCTTTTAAGAAACTGAACTTAACTTAATCCGTTAGAAATATGCTAGATATATATTACTGGCTTGACTCGGTTTGTCATACCAGAGCTGGAAACTTTAAAATATAACTCGTCAAACTAGTTGCTAAAGAGAACAATGTTCAATCTGACAAGAAGATTAATCGATGGTATTTAGTTATAAAACATGAGTTATTTATATTCTCAGAAGACATCCTCAAAGTTCTACGCTCACATGCAGAGAACATAAGGGGCGTAACACCTTGAAGGTCGCTCTGGTAAAATTGTGTCTGCACTGCAAAACACCTGGTATCACCATACAACGAACACAAAAAACGCTGAGTCATTTATCGAGTCTGAAAACGGTGAATGGAAATTTTACATCAGGAAGTAACGAATAGTGACACAAATTAAGAACTTTGTACAATTCGCACAAATGCTTCGGTTTTAGGACAAGGATCGAGCCTGATTTCATCCAATATTCTTGAAGAGTGGAACTTGAAACAAAGAAATACCATGTTCTTTTTGTGCATAACATATCTATCTTTATCATTATAAAACATAGAATATTATATATAATTAAAAGAAAAAGATTTTTACATTGTTTCAGTGTATGCATGTCCAGATTCGTCTAGTTATTTATGTATTTCCTTTCCCAGATATCAACAAATGTATTACAATTATCGAATTATCTCGTGATCATAACGTGGCGATTTCCGGGTCGATTATCTAACATGAGGGATTATAAGCGGTATAAAACGATAACAATTGTGCTAGCAGAAGTTATTTTTTCAACGCCTTCCGCTAATTTTTTCCAGATAAATTTGACTCTGCATTATCTATGCCTGCTATGGTTAATTGTATGTGTACAAGTGTTTTCCAAAATTGTATATTTTCGTACGGTGAATTTTTAATAATAAATGTCTAATAATGAAATTAAATCGTCTACATTCCCAAAATGTAAATACACCTTATAAATTTCTCTGATACCAAGCACACGTGCATAGTCTGTCACTTATGGGTGTATTGACAGACGCGGCTAGTATAGGTGTATCAAGTGATAATCGCGCACAGCATTCCTGTGGTCACAGTGTATTTAAAAGTACAAACGTGAACGCGTGTCTCTGTTGTGAATGGAAATTTCCCATGTGTGATCCAATGGTATAACCGTCCCATTTCCGCTCTAGTGTTATATTTACCTTCCACTGGGTCGGTTTTCCGGAAGTAGGGGAGAGTCTTTTGGAAGTAAGAACGTCTCATAGAATTGGGTAAGTACCTAATTCATTAATGCATATTTCTTAAGTCAGCAGAACCACGTGCACCATTGCTAACGGGAAGGGTATTGCGTCAATCGTTATTATTGATATCCGATAGAACAATTGACAGGGACTGTTGTTAAAAATATTTATAAACAGGTCAGACACGTTTCGCTATGTTGTACAATGTGTTTATAGCTTACACTGTATATATGTGCCTGTACAACGTATCTGGACCACGTGAAGATTTTAGGGAGAGCTTTTATCAAATTACTGTTCACGTTTCCGTGATACATGTGTGGTATGATATACTACCACCACAGGCAGTTATAGTTTTGATACTCTATGCCTTTGTTATAAGTATTTATAAATAATGGAAGCACATAAAACGCCGGGCTAGGGTAGCAGACATTACTAACCATGAACAATGATGAATCATTGTACTACCTGTGTCAAAGGTCCTATAAATAACTTCATCGCGTGTTCAAACAGTAACCTATAGCTACCTGTATTACGGATTTTGTATGTGTATAGACACAATTGTACAACTGGTGGGGCTGAACCCCCAGGGGGCTGAGGGGCGGGGCCAAAAGTGGACAATATGACTATTTTGCTATAAACGATATCCTCTGTAGAACTATGAACTGGATATCAATCATATTTGGTTTGAAGCATTCATGGAAGGCGGGGATTCAAAATTGTACAAATCGTGGGGCTGATCCCCCGGCCTAAAGGGTCGGGCCAAAAATAGTTAATTACTCTTGGAAATAGTTTAGATCCAAACCCTATAACCGTATATACAATTGCTGAGTATAAAGAGAATAATGCATATATGCTTCCAGGATGGCCCTGGGGGTTTGGCCACACCCTTGCAGACTTAACCCCTGGGTCATAACTTTGAAACGGTTGAGAACCCCACCCCAAAACTGTATAAACAAATGATGGGCATAAAGAGACGAATGCAGTCATGATATTAGAATAGACCCAGGGGTCTTGCCAAACCCATAGGGACCTGGTTTATGAGTCACATCTTGGAAACAGTTCAGATCCCCACCCTTAAATCATGTATAGAATTGCCGAGTATAAAGAACCAAAGGCACATAAGCTTCCAGGATGGCTCTTGGATACTGCCCCACTCATGGAGACTTGATAGTGAAGGTGTGTTATCGCTATATCTTAGGAAGTACCAGAGGGATCTTTCTCAAATAGTATATGTATGCTCCCCTTGACCCCTTGTTGTGCATGTTATATTTTGAAACTGATCCTAAAAACGAAATGGCTAAAGGAAGAATTAAACAGATCTTTCTCATATTGCAATGATCGATTCTATTTCTTTCACATTAAGTACTGTACTAGTAAATATGTGAAATGACAAACTCACGTTTAAGGTTGTCTTTTAAACAGTTACCTCAAGGTGCATTTACTGTTAAAATGACTCGATCAAACCCAGATTAGAGAAAAGAAGAGAAAAGATCGAACTGACAAAGAACTTATGAAGATGGTACAATAGTTGGCGCCAAGATCCCTCTGAGATCTCTTGTTGCAATTACAATATGTTGAAATCAAAAGGGAGTTATTCATTTAAAATGAAATACTACCAATCGGTCTCGAGTTCAAACCCAAATTTCATGTTCTAATCGCCAGTATAGCCACTCAAAACACGTACTATCCCCTAAATTGTCAATGGTACTAAAGACCAAAATAAAGATCATCCATGTCTTAAGTGTTCTAAAACATCTAATGTCACGCTATCACAATTGGTACAATTTTGGCAGTTTTTCAGTGATATTAAAAAAAAAAAAAAAAAAAAAGTCTCTCGGATACAAATAATAAACACCAATCGTGTTGTTAGACATCAAAGGTTACCATATAGACGTGTGCCTAGCTCAAAGGCCTAATCTGGGACTGCCAAATAACATAGATACAGTGTAATATCATAGCACATCATTATCAGGTGCAAATAGACATGTATTTGACATAATTTGTTCGGAATTTTGATACAAAATATCTACCTCTTGTGTCGCCAAAATGACATTTTTTTACTTGGTACTATAAGCATTTAGAAGACGTATTTTTTTGCTTGTATTCTTTATAAAATGAAGCTTAAATAAATGTGCAAAATGAGTTACGTCGTTAAGGATCGATGATACGTCGTGTGTGTTTTGTTTCGATTAAACAAATTTTATTGCATAAAGATGTTAATAGCAGGACTGAACGTGATGTATGCCAACTCATTTAGTTCTTTCCACTAACATGGTACTATATGTTTACAATCAAGCAGTTGTCTAAATAATCTTTATTAAAACACATAAAATAAGGTGGAGAATCTAGAATGAGTTTTGACCATACTTGTTATAAAACAACTTCAGGTATCACCAAATCGTTTGAAAGTATGGTAATTTTATACACATTTGCACATTTAGTGTATTTTTTTAGTTCAGTAGGTGCTCAGTTGTAATGTTGGTAAACCAGGCAAGTTCATTAAGCATAATGAGACTGTCGTTGTGATAAAGAGAAAATTGAACAAAATAATGTGTCGCGTCTTCGAAATCGTTTCTACATTCTCATGACCGATATTAACTAACATTAACCCTATATAGAACGGGGTTACTTACTTACTTTGTGTCCTGGTCTACGATGGATAATATTTACTTGACGTTGTCCAAATTCCAGACGATATTTATTTAAATATTTAAGGTTTGTATTTGGACAAAGAGAATGTTTAAATTATAATTTTGTGGGCTTGTATTTTGAATTCGTTCCAAAAAAAATGATACGTGTGGTTTGGAGGAGGAACTTTAAGAATGTAGACGATATTAATGATGGTGAAGTTTGGTTCTGTTTCGTAAAAAGGGTTTCAAATATAACACAGTGCCACAGCTCTACAAAAACCATTAGATATTTATACAAATGTACAGAAGGTAAATGAGCGCGATCGAATCATTGTTAACTTTAAAAATATGATTGCAATTTTACATACGAAGAAAAAATAACACAAATATCGATATTACATATTTTTAGGATAGTACAAAAACTTTTGTTTAGTACAACTGGACTACTTCTTGAAATATGCGTAAGTCTAATTTACCATAAACGACCGGACGGCAGGGAGGATGATAAAGAAGGAATGCTCCAAGATGAAAGTGACGGAAAAGGCGGGAAATAAGAATATGAGTGCGAATGCATGCATTCTGAAAAAACTACTTTTACATTTATACATATTTGTGAAACCCCACTCAGCAAAGGATAGGACATAAGCGGTCATACATTGGTCATACAACATATTATCCTTAAGATGACACATTTACCGCATACCGATTTTTTCGAAATTTCTACTAGCGTCAGTCAACATAATGTGCCAAATAATATCCAAAGTATGTTTGTGTACAAAAAACGGAAATATGTCTATCACTTCCATAAAGATGCGAAACAACTAAAAATGTACATAACATACTAAACTTTTATGTGTGTGAGACTGCATAACTTTTTTATTGTGCAACATCTAGCTTTATAGTTGGGCTCATCATGAGCAGCAGACCTTATTGATGAAAATTTGACCAGTTGCGATAATAAATTGGTGCGACATATTGTTAAATTATCAAACATGACTATAGGTCTTAAGGTTGTTGGATTTGATTGGAAATAGACGTTGCTACAATTTGACATTTATATGACAAATTTACCGGTTCTCAAATTTCCTGAAATTTTCACTATCATATCACAACATAATGCACCAAATAATATTAAAAGATTTTTGGTGTACAAGAACCGGAAATTGGTGTTTTACTTCCGTAAAACAATTGATGTAGCAAAAAAGTGTATGAAAATACCAACATTTTTAGAGTTTAAGATTTTATAACTTTTTTATTATGCAATTTTTTGTTAAATATTTGAGTTCATAATTTGCAGCAGATCCTACTTTAAATAATATAATATTATTTGATAGCGTAAAACATTGTTTTGATAGTTTTTGGACAATAAAGTGAACCCTGTCGTACACCTTTGGAAGGCGGCACTAAATAGTTCATAGCACAGGCCCTGGGGACCTTTTTAATTTTTTAAAAATATCTCATGGGTCGTGTATTAGGGAGCTACAAATATAAACCAGTAATGGTTAAATTGCTTTGTGGGCAAAATTCTTTTGTTCCTGTAACAGGTCCTTTACGTCTGTTTCGTCTTTGTTCGAATGATTGCCAATTCAGTTCTTTATTGGTAATCCGGTGATACTTCTACTAGCATTGTATGAAAGGAACTTTGACTATGTTGGCAAATTTAATACACACATCATATTTCAATCAATACGTCACAAACCAAAGCTGCTATCGAAAACGACACCAGCCACTATCTTCAACATGCAAATATTTTTGAGTCGTAATTACATTTTGCATTTTCTTCAAAGCATTATTTTAAGACAACGATTAGCAAATCTGTTTTAAGCTTCAATTACTCTTGCTATGCATAACTTTCCTGCTCCACAGTTTACAAGAGTTAAATATATCATTTCAATATTCGTCATATATTCTTTAACGGGATGCAATTTCACAGTTTGTAGGCAAAATGCTCTGCCTGTTATTCACTGTTTGTTAGCAAAACTCCCTCTATATGTAACCCAGTGTTTGTAAGTAACACTCTCTCTACCTGAAATTAGCTGTTTGTAAGTAACACTCTCTCTACCTGAAATTAACTGTTTGTAAGTAACACTCTCTCTACCTGAAATTAACTGTTTGTAAGTAACACTATCTCTACCTGAAATTAACTGTTTGTAAGCCATACTCTCTCTACCAGTATTTCATTGTTCGAAAACAATCCTTAGAGGTTTCCTGCACGAGATTGCTTTTCAAATCCAAATGACAAATGCTAAGGTCCCCTAACCATGTAACCTGCAGCACTAATGGGTAGGGGTGGGGTTTGGACAGTGTTGTTCTATTAATTTCTGCAAAACGTTGTTAAAATGTACCGACAGGTGGTGTTCACACAGGTGTTTTTTATGGGGTATTTTAGATGATGAATCA